TATCACATAACCTAGTCTCAGAGTATATTTATAAATTACACTCTCAAAGATGACTTCTTTTTCACTTCTAATTAAACATGGAAGAAGTTTAAGAAAGAAAAAGATGGCTTTTTTAATTTGATAACACTTATTATAAAAGTCATAAAATTCGCGAAATATATACCTAAGTCAGTGATTATAATATCATAAACTCTCCATCTCCTCAGCTTGGTATAAAGTTTGGAAAAATGCTATAATTGGAATTATCCAATAGCATTTTACAACTAATTAGGAAGTAGTTAAGATTCTCATTCATCCGCATTTGACTTGGACAATAATCAAAATTTGATAGCTACTGGAATTACATGAGAAAAGTCTTTGAATAACTATTAAAATACCGCTTTCTTCTAGTATCATGGCGTGAAAGGAGAGAAATGGATGAAAACTTATTATTAAGATGGACTATAACTTGCTAATACCGTTAAGATACAAAAAACTCAAAATAGCACTTAGAAAATTGTATCGGTGTTGAAAGGAAATGATGGAATAATGCTACTATTAGTTATTAATGCCACAAATGGGGAATTGATTAAGTTCTACATAGATAACACAAACTAAATAAAGCCATTTTTTGAAATCGGCTAGACTAATTCAGTCATAATTACAGATGATAATCAGCTTTATATAAGTGCTTTTAATTTCGACAAAATATAGAATGTCATAGCAAGATTTGATATATCGATAATGGGGACTTAACTAATTGAAAAATGGTCTAAAGTGATAGGACCAGAGAATCCTAGTCATTAATTTCTAACTATATATCTTGATGAAATGAACAACGGATTATTCTTAAATTTCAAAAAGACCTTTGTATTCGATTCTTTTACACATAATGCAAGATTAGGTCTTATAAAACTAAATGCCTTTTCTGGTTAGATAATATGGTCACGTGGTTTTGAATACAATAAGACTTTAGTAGAATCTGGTAACACCTTTATCTCAGAATTTAGTGTTTTCACAATTGGTTCAAAAGAAATAATTGGAATATGCTCTCACACTTAATTTGAGGAGGAGCCTAATTATAAGATGCAGTTCTCATTGTTATAGATTGATTATACAGCAAACAATAATAGTATGCACATTGGAGAGACAATTAAAAACTCAAGATGTTGAGATGTTAAGATACAATCACTTTCTTAATTTTATGCAGTTGTGGATGATAATATCAAGAATGGAATTTATTTCAATCCTTTTTATCTATACAAAATTAGTTACTTAAGCTCAGAATAAGTTGAAATAGTGGTGTAATAAATACTTTTCTCAAGGTTGTATGAACTTTATCATGCTAAGATTACAAATGATTTATTCGTTGTTTTTTGCGGGTAAAGTGCAAATAATATCAGAGCTTCATACCTTAATACAAATGAAGAGAGCCAATCGTGCGATCATAGATATAAATAAGGCGAAGAGCCAGATAGTTAGTACATTGTAGCAGTTACCTCTGAATATTTGATCAAGGAATATAACTATTAAGCCTTATTATAAGATGGAGGTATTACGTTCATTTAATTAATTGATGCTCAATTAAAAGATATTTCCTTAAAGACATTTTATCATGAATACCCGCGATTTTGCCAGAAAAAATCATCTATCATTACAAACCAATCTTAATGGGAAATAAATGTTATTAAAGAAGATCGTGGGGAATATAAGTTTGATTTAAATAATTTGGTTAAAGGCGATGAAAACTGTTTAGATCCAACTAGGAGTTTCACAACTGATAAAAAAGATTATGAAGAGAGATATAATCTTACTAACGGAGTATTAACCTTTAAATATGAGAATAAGTAGGATCAAATAGTCGATAACTTTGAATTATCTATAACATATCCAGATTAATAGATTGTATACGAGATGCTTAAAATAAATCTTTTGAGCTGTGAGATAAGCTATTCGTAGACATATATAAGATATCTTTTGTATTCTGAACCAATTATAGTTGACTTTTCTATGTATTAAAAGCCATACTAATAATGTCCAGATCCATATATTTCAGTGAATGAAACAATGTCCCCGACTATAAATTATCATAATCCGTTTATAATTGACATGAAAAATAAAACAGTCACAATATTTTCTCAAAATATATTATCTGATGGGAAATATGTTAGAGACTTCCTATTTTATTATGATAGTAAAAAGAGAGATATTGTCTATATATTGACGCTTACTCTTTATGCAAGATGCAATTCTACATAAATAAATCCTCAAACTTTAATTTATAATTACTACTTAGGTGCTGGTCCAATGGTCATAGATGTTATTAATGAAAAATTCTGGGCTTAATGCAAGCCTGCCTTTGTTGGATATCCAATAAATCTATACAACTTCATAACATTTGATAACATAACGAACACTTACTTTATATCTGATTAGCCTAATCTATTTGTAGAAGATGATGGATTTACTTATTGGCCTCGAGAAAAATTATTTCGTATAGAAGTAGATACTAAGGATGATACTGCTAATTTCACATTTTATTGGTTTTTGTATGTTTATAAGTTAGAATAAAACATTACTGATGATGTTTCAGGAGAAAATAATTCGAATTTAGCTAATGGCAGTTCAAACTCCTCTTAAGTAAAACCAACCAATAATAATCTAAGTGTAAACTTTAAAGAAGCACCAATCATGAAATCTATCTTTAAAAAAATAAAGATATAATCAATGAAAACAACATTGATTGATTTAATGAGCTTGGGGATCGCTTTAGATTTAGGATTTACTTTTAGAATTTAGAATAAGCCTAAATTTATCGTATTCAACTAGAAATAAATTTTTTTCAGCCCGTAAGCAGAAGATGTTGGACAATTTAATATTACAATATTTATCTAGAATTAAGATTTACCTTCAATTCAATATAGTATCCAGTTAACTGTGGAAGTTATTTAGGAAAATCAATAGATTTAAAATAATAGTAATTACTGCTAAAAATTCTAAATTCAAAAGAATAAAATTAGCAGCAAATATCAGATTTCTATTGACTTAAGTGAAGATATAAATACATACATAACAATTTAATAATTGTTGGAATACCATTAGGATTATAATATTTTGAAAATGAGTATTGATTCAAGGTAAAATTAGATTTTAGAACTGAATTGTAAAGTTGATTTTGAATATCTTGGTAGTGGAGTGTTTTAGATATTATTAGGTAGAGATTATCTGTAAATGTTATTAGAAGAAGACCTCAAAGAGATGAAGATAAACCTTAATTAAAGAAATTTAGATGAGAGATTAAATTAAGGATTTAATGATATTTTTCATAGAATTCAAACTTTTTAAAAATATAAGCACAATCAAGAAAATTTTCTTAGATCAGATTATCAATTGAATCATCAGTTGATATTTTACACAGTTAAAAGTAAATTATCATCATTATTACCTTAATAGTGGATAGTCTTATTGATCAGAATAATAGATACTCATTATTAGAAATCTTTATGATATTTTTCCTTTGTCTGAATGTTACAATTTCAATCTTTGTGTAATATTGTTTTCTTTTATTTTTTAAAGAGCTTAAATAGGGGAACTCACATTCTAGATGCTAAGTACTTTGTAGTTGGTATGTAATTTATATTTACTTCAGAATGGTGTTCCTATTACAGAGCTATAGTTTTCTGGAAATCTTAATAAGATTAGTATGTTTAATTTCTTTCCAAGTTTATTTCCATTGACATCTGACTCCAAGTATATTTCTTTGCTATTTCAAGTCCTGGGTTATAACTCGTTTATCTTTTGGGTTTAGATGAATGGTCTGATATTTATAATAATTATTCATGCAGTTCTTGGATTGATATCATATTTTTTCAAATACCCGGGGTGTTAGATATTTTCCAAAATCATGTTAAAACAATTTAAAAAACTATGTATGCACAGCTATTTGCCATTATTTATGACTGTAATGATATTTTTTACTTAAGATAATGATTCCTAATAAACCAACCTACTTTAGATTCTGTATTTTTTATAATCGATTCTAGTAATCACAATTCTAGCATTTTTACCAGTGTGGTTAGGATACTAGCTACTAAAACTTAAAAATTATACTCAATTAAATAAAAAACAAAAAGATATGATATAATAATAATAAAGCCAAATTTTTGGCTTATAAATAGATTAGAAAACAACAAAAATTGATTTTATAACAAATGATAAAATGAGCTGAAGTTAATTATGTGGAAAAATTTAGTTTAAGCACAAAAAGGTTTTGATTATATAAAACTAGTTAAGTATTCATGAATTCGGCTACTTGGAATTGATTTATTTATCAAGAAGATTGATTTTAGCTTTAGGCATTAACCACTTGCCCCTTTCAGTGTCAGTCTAATTTTAATTGATTTTTAGTATAATTCTATTGAAATTTTTTCTAAAAAAGATTTAGATATCTTAAGACTAATTAAGATAAATAAATACAGAAAACATATTAATATACATGCAAATTTTATCGGAATTTCTCATTGTTTGCAATTTATACAGCTTATTTGGAATGACAATTAATCAATATAATGTGCAATAAATTTGCTTAACATACAGATTTGTTGAATATTTAACAGTCAGCTTTATGGTCATATATCAGATAACAGTATGTTTTCTACTCGGAAATCACCTTATCAAGAAAATAAATTTACTGTATAGAAAGAATTTATTGAAAAAATTAAGCATTATTAAAATATAGAGTTCAGAAAGTGTCAATAAATAAGACTTGAAAAAGTCCTTTACTAAAGTATTGAATAGCAAGGGAAAAAATCAACTAAATAAATAAGTAATTAACTAAAATCATAATAATATTAAATAAATGCCCTAACATAGAAGAAAAGCGTAATTTTAGTAATTAACTGATTCTGAGATATTGAACTAAATCTAAGATAATGATAATTAATCTGTGTCATTTTAAAAGACTGTAATAATGTAAAATACTTTAGAGAGTTTACTTCCAAGTATTTAGAAAAACAATACCATTAAACTATTTGAAGATATGATTGATGATGAATCGGATAATTTAAATATGAGAGTTCTATAGCAAAATAATGAAAGAAGTTTTTCTATAGAAGAAAATATTTAGAAAGAATAATGGATTTATGCTAAAGATGAGGATAATGATGAATTAGCAACTGAATAACTATATGTTAAAAACATTTCAATGCTAGTATGATAATATGATAAGAGAATTATAGCAAGATTAAAGGAGCAATTAAAATCAATACAGAAAATGACATTGCTTAATGAATATATTATTAATTTTGGATTCTCAAATTATAAACTAAGATAAAGGATTATTTGACTCTTGGGGTTTTGGGGTTTTGGGGTTTTGGGGTTTTGGGG